CCCTGTTAAGGAAGGGACCACAGGTATTTCTTTTAAATAAATATACAACTTTTAAAGTAGATCCTGTGATCCAAGTGGATTTTAAACAATTATAATATCCAAATTTTCCATCACAGATGTTACATTTTATATTTTCGGTAATAAATTAATTATTATTTGTCTTAGAATGAATATTTATATATTTAAAATTTTTATTTTTATTGTTTGAATCTTGATATTTTTAAAAAGTGGTATCTCATTGTAATTTTTGTTTTATTAGTTACTCATTTTATAATGTGACAACTATAGCTAAGTTAAATATCTAGAATGCCAACATGTTAACGCACCTAGGGAGACATTTTTTTAAAGTAGTTCATTTGATAGTAAAGCTATTCCTTGTAACATAATCCATTTGAGACGTTAGAAGATACAAAATTGTTCTTTTCAAAATTGTATTATTTTTTTCTGAGCAAGACAAATAGGAATCAATTTGTTTGTTTATGCTTCAGGTAATTTCTCCCAGCTGTAATGATGACATCACAGTGAAAAAAGACCAATGTTTAGTTCGATCATTTACGGATTCTAAATTGTGAGTAGTCAACCGCTTGTTAATTACTACATGGGAGGGAAAAAAATGGCATCATTGTGATAAACCCTTAAGATCTTATTTTTAAAAGCAATTCATCTCATGAGTTAAGAAGAAATATATTAAGTTTCAACACTTTAAAATATAAATTATTTTGTACTGTTAAATTCAGTGTAGAATTATTCAGCATAAAAAAAATCCATGTTTCATAAAGTATGATATTGATTTTTCTGTGTGCAGTTTTTAGTGTTAACTCCAAAATTCTCCAAACTCATTGCCATGAAGTTGGTTAGATTTTGACTCATAGTCCCTATATAGGACAGAGTAGAACTTGCCTCTGTGGATTTCCAAGGCTGTAAATCTTTACAGGAGTAAAAAGCCTTGTGGTCTTCCCTTGGAAAGGGTCCTGGGGATGGAGTGGTTAGCATTGGGCTGCTCAACACAAGGTCCACAGGTCACTAGCCTTTTTTCTATAGAGCCATTTGAACCACCAGTTTTTTATTTTGCAGCTGAGCACTTTGCTCCATGACGGCTCCTTACGAGTAGATAGATTTTTTAAAAATTTAATATTACTGTCATTCTTTTTTTTTAAAGTGAGAATGTATTCATATTTTTGTTGCTTTTTTTTAATCATTTTATTGAGGGCTGATACAACTCTTATCACAATCCATACATACATCCATTGTGTAAAGCACATTTGTACAATCATTACCCTCATCATTCTCAAAACATTTGCTCTCCACTTAAGC